ATTAGGTGTAACCAAAGACAAAAAAAAAGCTTCAATATTCTTATATTTAAACTATATAAGTCTTCCCATCATGAATCCGGAACTTTACCCCCAAGAAAGTACCTCACAAGACCACAAACAGAAAACCAAAGCCGTCTGCCAACGAACCCTGGTTTATCGGTCACTCCCCCCGTTCAGTTTATCGCACCGCGCTCTTTTCTCTTTTCGGGCTCAAGAAGCCCAAAGTTGTATACCTACACGTATACATCCTCTTTAATTTCTCTAAAGTTTTTAAAATAAAAAAGATTTTCTTTTCCTAGCGTCAATAGCTTATAAACTCTCTTTTTCACACTTAGCCTTCATCATCAAACAATTTTGGTACACTATACACCTAAAATTCCTGCATTAATGGCGGCAACAATTCACTTATCCACACAACAGCCAAATTCTGCCCATCCTCAGCATGTCCAACTACAGTCTGCTAGAGGTCGTCCTGTTTCAACTCCTGTTCCAATGAATTATCCTCGATATCCTGAAGTCTCCCACCCTTCACAAGTATCTCAAAACTCCGCATCCACACGAAGAGGCAATATGTTTGGTCCATACCTACTGTTACAAACTTTGGGCGAAGGTGAATTCGGCAAAGTTAAACTTGGTATGCACGTGGACACCGGTGAAGAGGTAAGATCTTTGTATTACGAATTTTAGAATTAATTCTTTTCTAACTTGATCTTTACTTTCTCTGAAAGTTTTTTTTTAACCTATTATAACTGCTAATCGTGTCATTTTTGAAAATTCAAATAATTTCAAAATTTTTAAAATATTTAAAAGGTCGCAATCAAACTCATACGTAAAGAATCTGTAGATACTCCATCTCGACTAACAAAAATTGAAAGAGAAATAGGAGTATTACGGGTAATGAATAAATTAACTCTTAATTTTTTTTTTTATCAATATTTTAAATATTATATCATTTCTAAATTATTTCGATACGTCGATAGAGTGTGATGCATCCGAATATTGTAAAATTATATGACGTGTTCGAGGCAGATCGGTATATTGGCATTATCATGGAATACGCCTCAGGTAAGTAAATCTATATATTTACACATTACACACACATATATATATATATATATATATATATATATATATATATATTGTAACGATTAATTAATAATTTTTTGTGTATATAAATACACTTTTAAATAGGTGGTGAACTTTTTGATCATATATTAGCACATCGATACCTCAAAGAACGAGATGCTTGTCGATTGTTTGCTCAACTCATTAGTGGAGTGAATTATTTACATCAAAAAAATATCGTGCATCGTGATCTTAAATTAGTATGTTATACTATGTTTTGTTTTTAATATCAGTTTATTTTAAATATTTACCATGTGGATTTTTTTTTAAAAAAAAAAAGGAAAATCTTTTATTAGATCGTAATAGAAATATTATAATTACTGATTTTGGATTCGCAAACCAATTCAATGGTGCTCATGATGATTTGATGGCTACATCTTGTGGTAGTCCTTGTTATGCTG